GGCACTATAATGAAATGGACCTGAAATTTATTTCACATGTTTCCTGAAAATTGATAAATATCAAAGCAACATAAAGCTGTTTGTTCTAGTTCGTATAATGACAATTTAATGTCATGTTTGTTTGTGATGACCCCCCTTTTCGGGATTGCATCAGAATTATAGTTATCTCGTATCGCATGAGGATGACACATATCAACTGAGCAATTATGTTTGGGACTTAGTTTTAAGAAATGATGTCAAAGTAACATTATGAAAATATTTTTAGTAAGTTGAAATATATATTTATTTTTTACATGTTTATGTCTTGTAAGATATTTTATTTCTGTCCCGTTTTTCAACATTTGCGTCTGGAAAGTTGAAATGTTTTAACTGAATGGTTAATTTAAATTTATTATGAAAATTGTTAAAATTAAATCAATAAAGGAAATTATTGCCCAGTTACAAACACTACCAGGGGATAATCCATAATGATTTTTTTTTAGTTATATGTTTCAGCACATGTATAATTAACCCCAACTTTAGCCTGGTAAACTTGTTGTCTCCTTGTGAAATATAAAACATATTTAAAATGATTTCCTGCTAAAGTCTTTTATTGATATAAAGTTAAAACCGTCTTGCTTCTCACTAGTCAACACTCCTGTCCTGTCAGGTTTAATTCTTATATATATGGATGAAAAATAAAAGTCCACAAAACATTAACATGACAGCAATTGCTTTTACAGCCTTTAAGGCTTTGATTTTTTTTACAGAAGAGTGTCCACCATGCACTTGCACTGCACTATAATAATAGTAGAATAGAATGATATACAAATAGATGAAAATTATATAAACATGCAACCGTAATATTAATATAATATATAACAACAAACCAGTGTAATCTCTGGAACTATTATTATATTAGTATAATAGTCTAAGGTATACTGATTTGTATCACTACAATATAATAGTTATTACGGTGAGGTTGAATTTCCTGTCATTTATTCATCATCCAAGCACGAACTTGTATCAGAAAAAAAAATCTGTAAATTAACCTCAGTTCAGGTATAGAGATGTGATCTGTTTCTGTGATATGTGCTTTTGACCATCCACAAGAACATGCGGTCATCCGATGTTCAGTACTTCAGTACTTTGATTTTAATTCTCAGTGTGTAAATTTTTCGAAGAAATGGTTTAAACATAGTTTTGACGAGAACGGCTTGCCATACTAAAGGGACTAAAAGAGAATAGCGAAATTCATCTATGGTCAACCTTGGAACATTTTTTCGAATGATTTCTTCACTTTTAACGGAATTTTTTTTGAAACACTGACTACTGAACTGATGATGCATTAGGGACTAACAGTCAACCAGCAGTAGTATCGATCTAGTGCTAGTAAATTAAAATAACACATTGAAAATTCCGTGCGTCCGACGCGCTTTTCTGTATTTCCCTTTATTAGGAACGCTCAAACCTAAAGATTTAACCAAGGATGTTAATAAACTTAGAAACCAAAAGGAACCATCATGTTACCAAAACATATATGAATGGTTTATATATAAGTCCCAAAAGGTCTAAAGAACAAAATTCTAGTCACAAAATATACGTTAGTAGTTTAAATGTTAAAACCTAAAATCAGAACAGACCAATATACGACAAATATATTCTAATGTTATAAAGAATATAGTTTATGATTTAAACAGTTAAATATCCAATCGTTCTTTTATTTTAGAAACCCTTAAAAAAAGAAGAAAACTGACGTGTTTAATGTGTTCTGCTGAGTCAAGCCATTTCCATCCGATTTTTAGTTTTTTTCTTATGTTGTGTTGTTAAACCACTGTCCTAGGTAAGGGGAGAGTTGATCGCTCAAAAACATGTTCAACCCCGCCACATGTTTATGTGCCTGTCCCAAATCGGGTGTCTGTAATTCTGTGATTGTAGTTGGTTGCTGTGTTTCATATTTGTTTTTCGTTTATTGTTTTGTCAGAAATACATCTACACATAATAATGACAGGGAAGAAAGAAGATATAAAACACAGGCTGGTTTGAATTGATTCATGTTTTGTAATGGCCAGGAGATTTTAAAGCTTAGTATATAGTTTGGGCGTACGTTGGCCTATAGTTGCATATTTCCACGTCCTTTGGTCTCTGGTGGGAAGTTGGCTCACAGCCTAAGAAGCTGTCAGAAAAATGACTTAAAAGTCAAAGCATAGAGTCAGGCCCAGTAATCATGGGGTATCCGATTAAACATAGATATTTCAACCGAAATGGCAACGTAATTATACATCCAAATTACAAAATTCTACAAGACGAGCACATGTAATGTTTCTACGGATGCTAGCAAAATTACAAGATATCAATGTTTGTTTCATTACACCTCATGTGAACATTCAAAATTAATTTCTAATCCATGGTACTCAAAATTAAATATTGGATATTCAAAAGTGTTAAAATGTGAAGGGCAATGAACCAGAATAACGTCATAACGGACTTCAAAATCAAACAACCGAGTACACAGCATCGGGATGATAACCTCGGAATTTAAACAATGTAAACTGTTTATTAAGTTTTGTATAAAGAGGAAATATTGATAGTACGAAGTTTAGGTGCAAAGGTATGTTAAATAGTTAATTAATGTCCATACATTTTTGGGGGTCTCTAAAAATTATCTCAGTTAGAACAGTTGATGATTGATCGTCATCTTCCTGACACACTGTCTCTCCCTCTCTCTCAGACAATCGGTTTCAGATAAGATTTTTTGGTAAATAAAAATATGGGAATGCACTTATTGTACAAACGCACTTCCTTCTAAGTATCTGGCAGTACTTATTTATTGAAGAATGCAAAATGAATTCAACGAGTCAAACCAAAGTTTATGACAAGCCTCCCGGTTCCGATTTTAACCTTAAACGTCCTCAATCAGACTCGGTATTTATACATCCAAACACCACCAAACGCACGATGATCAGCATTAATGCATGGCAGATACGTTAAATATTAACATCAACAACGAGACTTGCAATAATACGTATTTATACATCCTCTTCAGTCAAATGGACGGAACTGTCAAGACTCATTGAAGAATATATCTGAATCGTGTAGTGTATGTTATGTCCCATACTGGTTTTATCACGTCAGAATAGGGTATATCGAATTCACTATAGTCATGATAGTAGAAAGTTTTTCTTGATTAACCTTCATCCAGCCCAAAATATTGGAAACAAGAGATATCAATGAAACATTGTTTGACAATGTATCGTTAAACAGATAAATTATTTGAAGAACCGCTTCATATGACAATGAATGTTGACAAATCCATCTTTACCGTTTAATCACAACGTAACATATACATGTTTGTTTAACAAGGAATGAGGTGAGACATTTTATTCATACTATCAGCGGTAAAATGGTAAATTAATAGGGGATAGAAGTTTTGTCTGGTTAAAAGTCAAGAATTGTTGCAAAAACCGTTCTTCGACTTTCATTTGGCTATCTTCAACCATGGGGTATCCGATAAAACTATGCCTTTTGAACTAGATGTCACTGCGTATCTATACATCCAGATTACAAAATTTAAAAACGAGCACATATAATATTTCAACGTATGTAAGCTTAATTATAAGATATCAATTTTAATTTCATTTCATCTGATGCGAATTTCGAAATCAGTAATCAGTGATGCTAGAGAATTAAATTTTAGAAATTCAGTCAAACATGTTAAAATTTACAGATCAATAAAGCAGAAGAACGCCATAACGGACTCCAAAAACAACCAATTGAGAACACAGCATCGGGATGATAACTTCCGAATTTTAACAATGTAAAGTTTCTATATGTAAAGAAAATATTGATAATACGAAGATAATATAGCAAATGCCCTTCTGTATTTACATCGTCTGGACAGCACTCGTTTTTTTAAAGAATTTTTTTTGAAGTTTGCAGAACAGACATAACATTTATTATTCCCATTAACATTCGTGAACCAATACATGAACCCAAAGTCTTATATACAACTGCTAAAACATATCAGGGGCATATTCTAAAGGTAGGCAAAATTGGAACGAAACTTTAAATTTGAAATGTTGATATTTTTTTCCTACATTTTATATTGTCCGTTATTACGAAAGTACGGTTTCTACTAACTCGAGCAAAGTTGACTTTAAACGGATTTGGCTATTATTTTTAGTTCTCTTATGGTATAGCCCTTCATCTGATTCGGTTCATATATATCATTGGCTTTCAAATATTCTGCTTTGAGCGTTCCTGATTAAGGTAAATCTAGAAAAGCGTTTACGTTTGCTGTATCATTTAAACCAACCGTCTCGGTGGTATCGTGTTAATACATTTTGGGATTATGTGTCCGGATCGACTTTCCAATTTGGCCGCCCAGTGAATCCCTAATTTTATGCTCAACCTACTGTCCACAATTTTTTTTTGTACTAATAAAGTATTTTGCGTGGCCTTAATTACAAGGTAATAAAATAAGTTATATTTTATTATATTGTTTATTTATTCTCTAGTGCAACCTGATAATACATAAATTTACAGACATATATTTAAATATTATAGTTACATATCCGCCAGCCCTCAAAGGCTTACGATGTACAAAGATGTTTAACTTAATTTCTCTGATTAATTTATTTTAAATTCAACTTGTAATTTAGTTGTTCTTTTTTTTTTGTATCTAAATAATGCAAAATATATTTATACTGTCAGTAATAAGTAATAACAGACATGCACACGTTGTCGGACAACCGCGCTAAGCGTACCCCCAATCTTAGTTCAAAGTATCGGAAATCCGGAAGTAGGTGTCTGACTGATCCAAAAAAAACGCTCACACATGACAACTCTTAACTGTTGAGCTGCTGGTCAAATATGAACTTATTCTGTAAACAGCTTCTTAGAAAAGTGTCACGAAAATATTGTTTGAACACGGACGGATAAAGTGTTTGCAATATAGCCCCACTTTTAGAATTGGTGATAACATGAGTATGTCATCTATTGGAAGATAAATAAGGTTTAATTGCAAAGTTCGGTTCACTTTCAATTTCGAAAACTTTTGTAATGAGATGCTTGACTAGAATTCATTACAAAGCACTATCAAATCTGTTAAAGTTATCATTTTCTCAAGTAGAAACTCCTTTCATTACGTACGACTAAATCCTGCACGATCAGTTCACATTGGTGAAGTAATACTGTAGGGTAAAAGCATTTTCCATGCGAAACACTAAGAAATGTTACATATAATGGTAACATTCTAACAATATTATTGTATATTATCAGCGACCTGCCCGTTGACTTGAATTACAGGGATTAAAACCATTTTTTGACCATCTCCAAACTCAAAGCTACAAAATATAAAATGGTCAATGCAATGTAAATACCATGCATGACTAATAGACAGAAAGCAAAGACGATGTGGTAATTTATAATTGAAAAATGATATGAAAGTAAGCTAGTTAAATAAATAAAAATGGTCATGGCTTTTTTATAGGAAACAATATTAATTTCCATTTAAAGTGTTCTGTTACACATGTATAAGTTACATGTATATATTTCTGATATACATATAAGCTGTGTTGCTTCTGGTTTGAAATAAAGTATTTAACTGTATATTAAAACAACCCTGATATAAAATAATTCAATGCTCTATGTTAGTATAACGGTAAGAAAAAATACATTTTCATAAATATAGTAATATACAATGTATAAGTCTTCAGGCTGCTGTATGTAAGCAAAATTTCGTTTTATTGTGCATGCTAGAAATATTTAAGCAGTTCGATCATGCGCTGAAAAAACTTACATTTCTTCTTCCTCCTGTATTGTAGGTGATGGTCTGATAACAGTATCCTCTAACTGTGAAATACTTGTTATTGTTCCTCCTTCTTCTATTGCAGACAGCAAAGGTGCGCGTGAAACAGCATGGTCAGATATAACCTTTTCTATCTTCTGGGCATTTCTTCGCTGCATAGAACGAGCATCCATGTCTGACCCATCTGATATCTTCTCGACAGTAAATCTGCAAGAATAATGTCTTAAGCAGATCAGACTTTCCAAACTTAATTATTATTGAACAATACAACTACTGCTTGATAAAGTATGTATCAACGATGTTTTTATATGTTTGATGCAGTTCAATCAATGTTCAATGTTTTGGTTAATGTTTTTTTCACAGCTTTTGAAAGATAAAATTGAGAATGGAAATGGGAAATATGTCAAAGAGAAAACAACCCGACCAAAGAGCAGATAACAGCCGAAGGCCACCAATGCGTCTTCAACGCAGCGAGAAAATCCCGCACCCGGAGATGGTCCTCAGCTGGCCCCTAAATAAAATTATGTACTGGTTCAGTGAAAATGGACGTAAACTCCAAGACATATAAAGGAACTAAAATTTAAAAAAAAACATACAAGACTAACAAAGGCCAGAGGCTCCTGACTAGGGGTTTAGTATCATACCATCAGAAAGTATATGAGAAGAACATAACCCGTATCATGCCAACAACTGGTTTTAGAATAAATGTGTTTATTTCCGATGCAAAGACCCTATGAGTGAATCAATATTAATACCAAAATATGCAATCCTTAATCAGCTGTCCTTAATGACTTGACAACAGTATCGTAACTATATCCCTTCCAAATAAGTCTGTTTAAAGGTTTGGTTAGCTTTTGAGGTGACTGCCGACATTTTTGTACTTTGTAAAGAATATTACCATAAAATATTGGATGTGAAATACCTGAACGTATAAGATGTCTGCATGTTGATTTATATTTACGAATGATGTCCTTGTACCGATGATAAAATTTAAGAAATGTTTTGACTAGTTTGTGATATCGAAAACCCTGGTGTAATAATTTTTCAGTAATACAGAGATTTCTTTCGTTGAAATCAAATACGTTGTTACATACATGAGCGAATCGAACAAGTTGAGATATATAGACACCATAAGATGGTGACAAGGGAACGTCACCATCTAAAAATGGATAATTAACAATAGGAAATAAAAAATTATCTCTTTTATCATACATTTTGGTATTAAGTTTCTCGTTAAAGATATAGATATCAAGATTCAGGAAAGGGCAGTGTTCAGTGTTAGTATTAGCTTTATTTAAAATCAGTTCGGCAGGATAAATCTCTTTAGTGTACATACTGAAGTCGTCATTATTGAGAGCCAATATATCATCTAAATATCTAAAAGTGTTTTTAAATTTTTGAATCAGATGTTGTTTCGATGGTTCTTTGCTGATTTAAGTCATAAATTGTAACTCATAATAATACAGAAACAGGTCCGCAATAAGTGGTGCACAGTTAGTTCCCATAGGAATTCCGATAACCTGACGATATACGGAATCTCCATAGCGAACAAAAATGTTATCTAGTAAAAATTCAGAGGCAGGTATAGTATCAAAGCAGGTCCAATTGGCATAGTTCTTTTGTTTGTTCTTACTAAAAGATGACCTAAAAGAATTCGAACATAGATATTCGCATTCCGTTCCGACTTTTTAAATGGCCATTTAATCAGTTGTGTGAATTTTTTCTTAATAAGATTATGAGGCAAAGTGGTATATAGGGTAGAAAAATCAAAACTTTGAACAGATTCAAAATACCCAATATAAGCATGCAATTTATCAAGTACTTCCAACGAATTTTTGACACTCCAACAAAAGTCATTAATTCCACTATTTTCAAAGGTCTTTTTTGAACAATTTATTACCAGGTTTTTGATTGTACAAAGTGTACTACTAAGTAGAATAGATAGTTTAGTAGTGGAACAATGGCTTGAAGACGAAATAAATCTATATTTGTAAGGAGTTTTGTGCAGCTTCGGAAGCCAGTACATAGTTGGAACTTTCATTGTATTTGGTTCTGCTTGTAAAGAGGTAGCTAAAAGTTTATGTTTGTTACAGATGTCATTTTCCGAAAAAAAAGTCAGTTGGAATGTTGGTGAATTCGTGATATATATTTATTTGAATTCCGAATTTTTTGTCGAACGCGTATTGCTTGTTTCTTGTAAAAGAGAGGCGAAAGATACCAAAGGGACCTTCAAAATCATAAGTGGGAAAAAAACTGACGACGCCATGGCTAAAAAAGAAAAAGACCAAAAGACAAACACCCGTAAAACATGCATGCATACTGTTATATCATTAGGATGGCTATATTTTACCTGGATGTTTTTTCATTGGTATTTGGCGAGGATAGTTTTCGCTTGATATCGGAAGCATGTTCAAAAAGATTTGGAGGACAACTTGTTTTTCTCCTTCTGGCTTTACTTTTCACTACTCTTTCATTTGAATTTTCATCATCCTCTGAGTCAACATTTGCACGTTTAAGTGGCACGTATTCCTGTGCATAATCAAAGTCTTTTTCAAGTCCTTCCTCGAAGCTTCTCGTTTTAGCTGACATCTTCCCTATGGACTTAACAGTTGAATTTGAATCATTTGAAGATTTCCTCGAGTCTGTTCTACTGAAGAATTTAATTAAATGTAAAGGAAAACTAACTTTTCTTTTCCTTGACTTTCTGGAATCCGTATTAGATCTATCTCTCCCCGTGATTGCAACTCTGGCCAAAGTTCGTTTCGTAAGACTAGAATCAGAGGACCATGACTGTCGTTTGCTCATTCTGGGAGGTCTCAAGTTGGACGGCTTTTTGAAATCTAATTCTTCGTCCATATTACTCATTGTTTCAGGATTGTAACCATTTGGCTTTGGCTGGTAATCCATGTATTGTTTTTCTAGTGGCATGTTGTATAAATGATCATGAGAATTAGTGCTAAAAAACTGTGGTCGTCTACAATAAAAAAGACAATTAACTCAGAAACAAATTATCAAACGAATGTATATTTTATTGTTAAATTCAGTCCTCTATTTTCAAAAAAAAAAAATTTCGCCTAGAGTATGCATGCAATATTTGCCAACGGACGTTCAGAAAGAAACAACCAATCAAAATTGAATGATTTTTGTTTGATTGACGCTTACTGGCAAATATTTCGTGCATATTCAAAACGAGAATGAATAAACAATAAAACTTTACAAGTAAATTATCCGTGAAGTGATTCTACCGGTTAATTAGGACGGTCAATAAAAAATGATAGAATGTCGGATAGCAGCAGAATTTTTGCCTTGAAACAGACAGAGTTGTTTCAAAAGTTCTTTTTCGTGCAGAAGACGTTGTACATTCTCCACACCAGGCAAAAGATTTAACATCACCATTCCGCCCGGTAGTTGATATGCATTAATACATCCTGCACATCAAAACGGACACCTCTTTCGGTGATTTGTACCAGTCAGACGGAGAAAATTGTCCACTGTTATATCCCGCGGGACTTCCACTTAACGTATTGGTGTATTAATCTATTAATTTATTTGTAGAAATTAAGATATCTGGAAGAGTTTTCCAGAATATGTGAGCCTTCCAAGAAGGTCTCCATATCTATACTACTCAAATAACGAGGTCCAATTTGTTAGCCGGCATGACCTGTACAGATCTGTACTTAGTGTCTTTTTGTTGTTTGGATGTACAAGTACCCGGCCACGTCCACTTGTATTTGTATTTTTATCCATCTGATGGGTTAAGCCTCTTTCAACTGATTTTTATAGTTCGTTCTTATGTTGTACTGTTACACCACTGTCCCAGGTTAGGGGGAGGGTTGGGATCCCGCTAACATGTTTAACCCCGCCACATTCTGTATGTATGTGCCTGTCCCAAGTCAGGAGTCTGTAATTCAGTGGTTGTCGTTTGTTTATGTGTTACATATTTGTTTTTCGTTCATTTTTTGTACATAAATTAAGCCGTTAGTTTTCTCGTTTGAATTGTTTTACATTGTCATTTCGGGGCCTTTTATAGCTGACTGTGTGGTATGGGCTTTTCTCATTGTTGAAGGCCGTATGGTGACCTATAGTTGTTAATTTCTGTGTCATTTGGTCTCTTGTGGAGAGTTGTCTCATTGGCAATTATACCACATCTTCTTTTTTATATGACGTTAAAACGACGAATCAAAGAATTCAACTTTATATATAATTAATATAGAACAATGGTGTTGATTAAACATTACACCATTTCAGGCCCTTATTTTCCACATAATTAATATTACCAACAATTAACAAGTTCCGGGTCGAATCCGATACTGATACCAATAGTACCTGTTACTGGTATAAACAGAAATGGTGAAGTCCATGTTGTGTTATAGCAAACCAGAAAATTTCTCAGATCAAAATTGGAAATAACACTTACACAACTGCATGTCCTGTTTTAAAGTCTGAGCAAGTTTGATGAAATATAAATATAATATAATGATTTACACAAAGATACCTTTATAGTATCTGATGTATTTGACACAGATCATGAAATCTGTCTCATTCAAGACTTTAAACATGTCTTGAAAAAAGTACGAAACAACATAATTATGTTTAACAAGACCGCTTTAGGATAAAAAAAAATTCCATCCCAATAATATAGAATCACTGGGAAGAGGTTTGTAAGTTCTATATACAGAATGGGTTTCCAATTCATAAGAACCTGAAAGAGGAGCATATCTTTGTAACTCCAGTTTCAAAAATGAGAGATAGATTAGCTTCAGATGTACGTAGCAATGAAATGCTGTATTTGATAAAATGTTACCAAAGTACACTGGAAAATCCTGCTAGATTGCATCCATGTTGAACTCTTCAATACTTGGATGAAATTTTCCAAGACGAAAGGTCCATAACAAAAAATTAAGCCTCCAAGACGACAGATTCAAAAAATTAAAGAATGTGCTCACCTTATTTATAACTAGTAAGAAAATGAAATAAATGAATGCCATTTACAATTCTGCAAAAAACATTATGACATCCAAAACAAGGGAATATCTAGATTATATAGTATCCAGAGATTCGACTCACTGTTTGAATTATCAAGTGGTCTTGGTGACTGTGACTGGATAAAAGATAAAGATTTAAACGGGAGACAAAGTCAAACTTATATAAAATAATGTATATTGGAAATTACTTTTGGGAGTTATGCATGGGATATCATTTAAATAAATGATGAAATTTGTCTTTTAGAGAGAGAAAATGTGTAGGAAAGGAAGATCAGTCCATGAATTTTCCGAAAACTACCATTATTCGGATTTACAAGAACTTCAAAAGTTCACATTTTTTTTAAGATCAAGGTATCTATTTATGGTTCAACTATAAATAAACACGCTGTACTTGAACACGACGGAGTTCAGAGTTGAGTATCCGAAAACCATTACTGATTGTGTCTGAGATTAGTGATGATCATCAATATGATCACACGTTTTACTCTAGAAATTCGAAAGAAGATTACGGAATACTTGAAATTTTCGATACGATGCATGAATATACGATGCACCCTTGGCAATGTCTGGAACTACAGTGACAATACAAAATGCGTCCGGTTTTTATAAATATACCACTAGACAAATCCAGTTAAGAAAACAAAACAAAAGAAGAGGGACATACACCTGTCTTACAAACCTGTAACAAACTTAAGATCAGTTTATCGAGTCATTGTACATGAAAACAATGATCAAATATTAATCGGGAACTGCCCTGTTTCTTTTGTGACAAATGAGCGAGTCATGTATAAGAAGAATGCGATAATATATCAAAACAACACGTTTTGTCTACATACTACATAAGACATCAGTGGCGCCCGAAACAAACCAGTTTGAAGGTCAAATCAAGTACGAACACGAAGAGCATAAAAAAATGTGCCAAATACGACTCATGTCATCTATGCCCGAGGTAGAAAACCCTAAGGGTTTGAATTATTGAATATTTTTGAAACAGAATCAGGAAGTTTTTCTTAGTTCAAATTAAACCATTGCCGTGACGTCAGTCTATTCATTTACCGTGGTTTCTTTTTCTAGAATCAAAAGTTCCTAAATATGTCGCTGAAATGGACTGACCAAATTATATTTAATGTGCCTAATTTCAATAAGTTTGAATTGGCTAATTTACTGATTTCTGTTCACTAATGGAATTAATTTAAAAACTTATCTAACTTTTGTAATTTTCACTTTCACTGGTAATCGAACCCCTTCTTGAAATCGGTTATATGGGGCTGACATCAACACATTTAATTTGTCCATTTTTGTTTTATAAATATAGTATGATTTCATCTGTTTTACTTAGTAATGTCAACTCGGTGAAGATTTACTAATCGATTACTCGTTATATTTACCGAGCGATACTCGAGTACTCGCTCGGTAAAACATTTACCAAATGGAAACACAAAACTATACCCATTGTATGTATTGTGGGTCGTTGTCTTATGAATGTTAAACACTCAATATTATTACCTGGGACTAGATAATAGTCCAAGGAATGTTATTCCATAATTAATAGCCCATTTACGTACTATATGTAGTAATTATGTAAACTGGCAATAATCTAATCAAGTAATTAATTAATGTCTTTAGAAAATGATTACTCACACAACAGTATTTGGGAACCGTAAAAATCACAATTAATTACCAACAAAGGGGTGATGATTAGAACTTACTAATCCCTTTAATCATTTTCTGAGGGTCGGCACAGGGTCAACGAATTTGTTCTTATTTAAAAAATATTATCTTGTCAACTTTTTATGGGACGAGGCGATTTCTCAACTTTTTTAGGTAGCTAAAAGTCCTGTTGATGAAAATATATGCTCTGGCGATAAAGAGATGGGCCAATGTCTAAGATTAGCTAAATGTGTAAGCCTCGGAAAAGTGCTTTTGGTTATATATCCTACCTCTGTTTGGAGGAATTTTAAATGCAAACATTCGAATTGTATTTTAAATTTTATTAATTTTGATTAATATTTAATTTCCCGGGCGGCGCTCTAAAAAAACATGTTTTGTTTTATTTAAGCTTAAGAAAGCAACAACACTCTAACAGGAGACCGATTAGTCGAGTATCATTTTGGTAATCGATACTCGGTACTACCGAGCGATACTCGAGTACTCGAGTACTCGTTGACATCCCTAGTTTTACTACATATCTTTACAAATGTTCATTCGCAAATCCCTCTGCAAGTAAATCGTGATGTGCCTAGAATTAGATGTCTTGCTAGAAATTTCGTTAACAGTCTTAATTTATATACTTAGAAATAAGTTCGAATCTCTTATTTTGTAAATTACGGATAATATTCAGATGTATAATAATTTAAAGATAGGCGTGTTATGCTATATTTTTATTTCCCTACCCAGTCAATCGTGAACTTTAATTTAGTAATGCATCGTTGAACATGATAACATGGTTATTTAAACTCGCTTACAATACCTTCTAATTCAGAAAATAAAATTGAGAATGGAAATGGGGAATTTATGAAAGAGACAACAACCCGACCATAGAGCAGACAACAGCCGAAGGCCACCAGACTTTTATTTTGAAAAGAGATTGACACCATATTTTAAGTTAGTGACGCAATGTATAAGCGTTGATTGATGAACACAAACCATTCGCCCTCCGCTCTCATGGTTTCTTTTTCAAGAATCAATGCTTATCCAATGTATCTATAATACATAATGAATGGAAACCCGAGATATGAGCATAACAACGAAACTACAAATACCGATATCGAAGGGAAATACTGTCTCCAGTCTCTTAAGTCATTGCTGTTTACACCAAGTACACGCGCGGAAAATGATTCTACCTTCTAATAGATAAAGAATGTCCCGTTCTATGGATGTTGACATTACAGATTTACAAGGCTTCACATTACCAATTTGAACCGATGTTATATTGAGCTGCACATGTATTATAAAAAATAAGGTAGCACCACTATCATATAAATAATAAAAGGTCGCGGTGCAAAATATACCACATTTTCGAAAGACTAATAGGACAGTACGTCTGTAGTGATTTCTGGGACTATTACTGGAACTCGACGCATCCCTAATATAAAAATAAGAAGATGTGGTATGATTGCCTATGAGATAACTTTCCAGCATGGACCAAACGACGTAGAAGTTAGCAACTAAAGGTCACCGTACGGCTTTCAACAATGACCAAAACCCATACAGCATAGCAAGTATTACTTACGAATACGATGATCTACCGGTAACAACACTAAGTAACGATCCAGCAGCATTACTTCCAAAAGACATGTGTCGATTAGAGTCTTGATCCATCACATCCCCCAACACTATTCTTTGTTCGCGGATAGTCGGTGACCTACATAATTAAAATGAATATATATACAACAAGGCAATAGCAATAGGAGGGAATTGTTTTCCTTACTATTAACAGTATATCTTTAAACTTTATGCAAGAAGTTCCGCAGTATATATATACTGTAAATTCAGAAATTTATGCGTGAATTTATCATTGCGAAATACTGATTACTGTTTAAAATGCGAGATGCGAAAATCACTACTGAAATATTGAATGCGAATGATACTGTCGTATTTTTCGCATTAATAAAAATATCGCAATATTTTCTGAATTTTCAGAAATTTACTAAATTGGTAAAACCATAGTAAAAGAATTGTGACTGAGCAAGGTAGCAAATCATGGCCTTATGTGCATCAAAGTACGAAGAGGATTAGATAGGTAAGTAAGATTGCTAAAATAGAACATCTGAAAATTCAGTTAACTTAAAAAGCTCTTTAAAAAGTTCTAAAAACACTGTTTAACTACAACGATGGCTATAGATAGGCTTCGATTTAGACAATAAGAACAAGAGTTACTTCCTTTTTGACGCCATGCTTGAGGTCTAAGTGCAAAATAAACTTCGAAAATCAGCCGAATTCATCTTGGTATACTGACAAATCGACTTTAGAAAAGGTTTTTTTTTAAACATTTTTAATTTCTTTTAACCATGCTTAATTAATCACTATGATCTAGTTAGGATATCTTATACGACTTGTGTGTGTAGCATGTTTCAATTTGGTTTAGTCAAATAAGAAAATCAACCGTTCATCCCTCCAAAATGGCAGCTAAGGGAAATAACGCAGAATCGAATCACGTCATTCGAACCCCATCTATATATTACATGAGTGTGTTGAATCACATCATTTGAAACCTATCTATATATAACAAGAGTGTGTCGAATCGTGTCATTCGAAACCTATCTGTATATTACATGAGTGTGTTCGACACGTATCATACAGTAGCATACGTCAATAATTTCAAAATATTAAGTAAAGTTACGTAATTGATATGCAGGTATAATTAATTTTAAGGAAGAAATACTGTCCAGCAACATGTTGTTCAATACTATAGTGCACCTTAATTTTATCATGGAAGTATGCTTTTGAAACTTGCACAATACTTTTATTTTTTCAAGAAAAATATTGATATAAGATTACAAAATATGAATAATAACAAAAATAAGAATTAATTTAAAAATAAATTAAAACAGACGTTGTCTTACGCCAGGTTGTATGTTGAACCCAGAAACATTGGCCTTTTAGATCCAATTGACGCCTCCGTATATGGAACTTCAGTAAACATGTTTTCAAAATGTAGGTCTTTTATAAGAGGAGGACATTGGTCACACATTTGGTCCACTAAAGCCATAACAACCTGGAAATAAATGTATACATGTGGAAAACTTATTTCAATTATTTTAATGTTGTTTACCGACCCTGAAATTTAGATACGATCCAGGTAAACTTAAAAATCCTTTACATAAACTTATTCTAAAAGGTTACCAATTCAAAACTGTAATTATATCTTAGAATATTGTTTTGATGGGTATAAATATTGATTTTGTTATCAGTAAATGAAAACCATATTAAATATTATTGTTATACACTTATGCAATTTCATGGTACTACAATCTGTCGATACCTATATTTTGGCATTGCACAAGGTAATTTTTTCTCTGACTGTAAATGGCGTCTTTACACTAAATCCATTGGATTTTGGATGTGTACTAATTGATACTTTAGTCTTAGAAACGTGATTTTTTTTATTAGTTGTTATTGGCTTTGAACTAGCTGTCAGTAACTGCGAGTACTCTCAGATCTGTATTTAGTGTCCTTTTCGTTGTTAGGGATGTATAAATACCCTACCACGTCCGGTCTGCAACATATTCAACGTCCCTATTCTAGCCGGGCGTGGTCGCAAAACCAACCGGACGCCTATCCTAAGCATTGGTTTAACTGCCGGACAAGAGAAGTCCATGAATGACATAATTTCTATACCAAAGTTAATTTTGGGATACAACTATAAAATAAATTGATAAGGGAAATCAAAGTCAATAGAGGCATTGTGGACTTTGTGATAATTACTTGCTATTGGCACCTATGTATCAAATTTGATTTGACAGAACCAAGATTCAAATGGTTCAGATGGTATCAATACGTTAATACGCATTGTAGTTTCAAATTCAGGACGTCAATGAATTAACAATAACTCTAATAGATATGTTTCACAAAGTGGGTCGACTAGGAGGAGGGAGTTACTTTCGACTGCCAACTTAGCATAAAGTTATATTTGACTCGCTAAGGAACTTTTAAGATAATTTTTGTATATGCGGACAAATAGAAAATAAATATCACGAGGACCATAATAGCTACGGTTCCGCAGCTATAATTTGACCAACTATGTATTTATCCTAATCAATACAAAATGTCGAGTTGAAAAATTCCTGACATCTCTAAAAAGCAGAAATTACTTTTGTTAGCATAAAATAACCACAGCTCATAGATAAAATGAGAGATAGAAAGTAGCATTACATACAGCAGCGTGTCTATCTATCAACCAGTTTATATCAAAATCATCGTCATCTTCTCCAAACGGATTGATTAACTGTTCTGCTACCTCGAAAGAAAGAAATAATAATCTTATTTTCTACTTTAAGATATGAGTTTTGTTTTTTAAAGCCGTACAGTCAATTTGTTTTCTTTCTTTTGCCATTGTCTTAATGCGGATAGTAGTCTCATTGACAGTGAAACCAAATCTCTTTGGTTTTATATAGCAAAATAACATGAATAGCTTGATTTAATTTTTATTTTCCTGGTTTCAATTGCAAAGTTCTTTAATTTTACTTTCAGATATATTGATGATGTTCTGTCACCCAAGGACCCTCTTCAATGAGTGCTTACATCTCATATCTTAAATTGCCGAAATAGAAGGTCTGCTTCATATTTTCATCTTTTCCTCGATATTGACATAGATAAACGATTTCCAACTTGAATCTATGACAAGCGTGATGATTTCAACTTTCCATTGTCCATTTTCCAGTTCTCAGCAGTAACATACTCTCTGCTCTATCTCATTTAATAAGTTACGCTCGTGCATGCATATACATACTATAAACTATACGGACTTCATTAACAGGGGTGTGTACCTTACACAACAACTGCTCCAACAGAGTTAGAGGAAGAACGACTCAATTCGACACTACATAAGTTTTACGGTCACCATCAAGAACTGGTTGGCCGATACAATGTGTTGGTGGTCTCGACTCATTTGCGACATGTTTTCGCGATCGTAGATATTCAGATACCAGTAATATCATCTGATCTGAAATTTCACCGATTGAATCCTATTTCTGATTAATTGTGACATTTTTACTGAATGTGGGTTCGAATGGCGGGTGATTCATGCATAGCAGGAGACGCTTACCCTGTCGACGCCCACGGTATCTATTTCTGTTTGTTACCTTGATTCGTTTCTTCCGAATTGATTTACGAGATTGTAACATCGTTAAATTACTGTCTCCTTAACTTATCATTACAAGGTTATAGGAGTTGGATGCTTTTTACTTTTTTTATTGCTCTTCTGAGCTTCAAACAAAATTACTTGTACTGCGCAAGAAAATAAAACAATGGTAACCGAGTCTGTCGCATGACGAATTTTAAAAGTATTTTCACTGTCTGTCAAATATCTTATTTACCATGAAATCAAGAAATACAAATAGTATAAGAAGATGTGGTATGTCTATAAGTAATGATTAACGATAAAATTCATTTAAATAGTTTGTATCAAAATACATATTCAACTTACCTTTAGCCACCCCATATAGAAAAAAAATTGAAGCAATGTGAATATGGGAATATAAAAATCCATTCCATAACCTTTGTAGTTCTTTGAAGGATCAAGGAACTGTTGACTGACTAATGTGGTTGCAAAAAATGTATACACGGCTAACGTTACAACCTACAAGAGAGTAATGAAAACAGTACAGCATACAATCGTTGAATTAATTCCATATGAGTTATAAATGGTGCATGTATAGCACTTTATACTTGTGTGTTTTATGCCCCACCTACGATAGTAGAGGGGCATTATGTTTTTCGGTCTGTGCGTCCGTCCGTTCGTCCGTCTGTCTCCCTTCAGGTTAAGGTTTTTGGTCAAGGTAGTTTTTAATGAAGTTGAAGTCCAATCAAATGGAAACTTAGTACACATGTTTCCTATGATATGATCTTTCTAATTTTAATGCCAAATTAGGGTTTTGACCCCAATTTCACGGTCCACTGAACATAGAAAATGATAGTGCTAGTGGGGCATCCGTGTACTATGGACACATTTTTGTTTGTTATCTCTTTATTCTAATGTTCGACTTATGAGTTTTGACTGTATCCTTGGTATCTTTCGCCCTTTTGTTAAGTTTATTTTCTGTTCTGAGTTTTATTATTTGTTCTTTGATGTATGATCTTTTGTAAGTCCACTTATCGAGATTATATGCATTTACCTGTCACAAGTCAGAAAGGCGTATGACATTTGTTTTATTATTTAGAAGAGTTAGTGTTGTTTGATAGACCTGTGATAGTTTCTGTTAAATGTTTTAAAAACTTTCTAAAACGCGGGATAATGTAGAGCTTGACATAGTTTACACATACATGTCCATTGTTGACAAAAAAAAAAATAAATAGGTCAAACTTATGTAATAAAAAAAGTAGAGGAGAATCGATTTCGGCAGTTTCCAGATTTGACTGTAAATTAATTGTTTGTCTTACATTGGCCGTTTCTGATTTTCTTATTATTCCGTTTGCTTGTTCAGTTTTTACTCCTCCCCAAAAAAGTAGAAAAAGAATCGCCCTTTTTTATCTAAAGAAAAGATTTTTTTTCTTACAGATCACTGAAATGTAATGCACCGTTTTGTATCTGGTGCAGTCTCGTTGTAGTTGTTCATTATTCTTCTATGTGTTTATTCAAGTATTCTAGGTTTTTTGTTTTTTTTTATTGTGTGTGTTTCACCCTTTGCTTCAAAATACGCTATATCTCAATGAGAGACAAAAATATTGCGTACTCAAACATCACTGAAAATCTGGAAAATATTCTTCCACTCAGGAAAAGACTGAAATGGGATTTCGGATTTTTTGTATAATGTTAAGTTGATTAGTTCTTTTTGATTATTAGACAAGTAAAGTAATCACATTTTTTTCTAGACAATTTCCTTTGTTCAATATTTCAAATAAAAAGTAAAATAACAAAAATACCGAGCTCTAAGGAAAATTCAAAACGGCAATATCAAAAGCTCAAACCCATCAAACGAATTGACAACAACTGTCATATTCCTGACTTGGTACAGGCATTTCCCTATGTAGAAAACGGTGGATTAAACCTGGTTATATAGCTAACTAAACATCTCACTTGTATGACAGTCGCATAAAAATATATTTCTCAACTTGAAGCAATAGGAGATGAGGAAACCTACTCACCTGGGTGTAAACCAAAGGTATTGTTATCCAGTCATATACAAAACACTTGGAACAAGTATCTCTAATGTCTGCAAGAGGCTGAAACAGAAATTTTAGTATAAAAACATCTTGGATAATAATAATAAATATATTTTTTAAATATTTCTATTAATTATTAACATGAATTTAGGGAGAAGTGGAGTATATGTCGGTTTTACCGTGTTTTGTTTTCATATGGTACTACTTGGTTTGTCTTTTATGTAATTGGGTTTTTTTAGGAAATTTTCATCAAGCAATAATCACTTGAACATGAATGGCTTCACATTCCTAATTTAGTAAAATACATTACGATTGAAAGCGATGGGTTAATTCTTTGTATAACGACGCATTAAATTTATCAAATTTATGATAGCAATTTCAATGTCAGTTCCAAATAAATGTAATTGGTTATTAAATGTTTGCATCAAATAATATTTTTATGAATATTCAGGCAAGATCAAATTAATAAAATATGTGATTAAAAGTGTTGACCAGGATGCAGGCGCAAAATTTGAACTGCCACTGAATATAAGAGATATCCTGGATATTGGATAAGGAGAGAATGTTTGTTTTGCAACAAGCCATATATGAGTTCCTCAAAGAGTTGTTGATATGGTTCGTAAGCGTACAGAGAGAGTGGTTCAAGGGTTCCATAATGTGCAGAGAGTGTAGAGATTATCTTACATGAAGCAACGGATTACACAACCTGATTATGTATATACCGTCAAACCGACGCCCTTTTTAGCATGGGTTTTAAATGCTGTGTCGGGAGCAAGAATTGTTGCCAGAGATCTTGTGCGTACTGACAGCGTGGCCTATTTACATACATCTATTTGATTTAATTAGCCGAATAAGAGTGTACGTGACTGCGTATTTATACATCCTAAAAAAGTCAAACGAATGCTCCATGAGAAAACCTGTTACCTTTTTTGTGTTGATATTAATTTATGTATGCGCCCCTGTTTGATTACCACACCAGCTAAAGTATTTCTTGATTTTTAAATTGCATTTGCCATGTGTAGTTTATAGACTTTCCGTTTGGAATTTTCCTTGAAGTTCGGTATTTTTGTTATTTTACTTTTTATATCTAGCTGCCTTTAACCACATGTATATTGTTTCATTCACAATTCTTGCACTTTACTTTGTACCTATTATTGTCGTATTATGTGGTAAAGATTATCAATATTTGTATAACCTACCTCTACTATCATTCTGAGTCCCCATTCAGTTTGTATTAGAGCTTCTTTTCTCGCTGTTACAAGTACACTATTGATCCACATGAAGGGAACCCAAAACTTGTTGTATCTGCAATCGATGTTTTCATACATCATTGCTTCCTCTTTTGTAATGAATCCTAAAGAAGAAGAAAAAAAACCAGATTGCTGAAGTACTATAGTTACCAGTATCCATTTATGAACAATTGAAGCCCATATCCTATTTTTGTAAATAACTGTTTTCATTGTTCCTAGTAATTTTTGTCTGCCCCGTATTTATTTTTTAATATCCCTTAGTATCTTCTTTTCTTCCCTGGTGTTTCATTCACAGCTTGAAAAATTCATTAACGTATAGGTAATTTCCAATTCATGACTTAAAAATTATATCAACGTATTTGTATCAAATAAAAGACTTTGGTAAATGGCTTGCTATCATCTACACAACTGTTCAAAACTGGTGAATTTATTGATTATTGTTTGCTAATTTTTCAGTGACCAATATTGCATGCATATTCAGGCCGAGAAAAATATTCGTAAAAGACTGCAAATTTATCTAACGAAAATTGCATTGGAAAAGGTGCAAGCTGACCAGATCCTGTTAGCGTACTAAGCTGGTTCTCGGCAGACTACTACACTTTGAGTGTAGCGTAATACAAGCGGATTCCAGTTTAGTAGCGTACCAGTTTGGTATCACGTGCTATTTAACACGATCAAACATTGGCAATTGCTGCTAAAATGTCAACATTTACAATTATCCAGTGCTAATTATGAGTAGGAGTTATCTTTCCGTCACCATGTAGAGATGCCCAGAAATGATATTTAACTTGTAAGTCAATTACAAAAATTATACAAAAAATATGTTTTGTTCATTTACCAACTTGTTTATTCAGCTATGCATGATTATACTGATATAATCAAGACACCACGATTGGAACAATGAAATATGTCTAAGACAACTATGCCCCATGGACTTCTCTCATTCGACAATAAAAGCCATGCTAGACTCTGTTTGGGATGTATAAATACGCAATCACGTCACGTCGATATGGGGACGTTAAATCGTCTCAAATAGGACAGGTTCCAAGTGCTTAGCTCAATTCACGTTCTAAAACTCTTGCAACAACTCTTGGAGGGGTTCGTCGGTTGGCGTTTGCCAAGCTAAATTGTCCCCTCTACAACATGACCTCAATTTTCGGTGGCAGTCGAAATTCCAAACCTCTATTGAGGTCGAGTTATTTTCAAAAATCTGTTATTAATTTTTTGTCGTCCTGAAATTGGACGTTAAAAAAAACCAAAAGTCAATCAATCTTATGTACCATTTAAAGTATGAAAAGTTTAGTTCATGTACGTGTGTTTCTTTTGAAGACCTTATTTCTTACCCGCTTCTACTATGTGATCAAGCGTAGGAAATCTTTTCATAACAGCAACACTAATTGAACGAGCTATAAGTATAATTCCAAACATCAGATATCTTGCAACTGTTCTCCTGAGTATCCGCTTCCTGTCTGTTTGTCCGGGAAGATAACAACACAACATGAATACAGTCCTATAATAGTTTTCAAAAACAGTTATATGAAATTATTGAGAATTCGTAATAAATATTAAGATCGGCAAAGTTGACCTTAGATGATTTTCGCTATTCTGTTTAGCTCTTTTTTTTTGTCATATAGCTCCTAACGATGCAGCGTATTTAATAATCTCTGGCTTTCAAATTTTCGGGTAAGAGTGTTCCTGATGATAGTTAATCTGAAAAGCTCTTCGAACGCACGAGGTTTATAAAGTGTTTATTTCATACACTAACATTTGGTCGATATCGCTGCTGGTGGACTGTTTGTCCCCAAATCTATCATTTGCTCAGTAGTCGGTGCTTCGGTAATGGCATGATTTATAACGAATACTTATTCAAAATTCGTGAATCAAGAACTTATAAAAAAATTAAGGTACAATTTCTCTCAGGCAAACTTGACCTTTGATGAATTTGGCTTTTCGATTAAGGTCCATTTTTGCAAATATAGCTTCTAACGTTGAAGTGTATTTACACATCCCTGGATTTTAAATGTTTAATTTTGATCGTACCTGATGAAGGTAAATCCAGAAAAGCGATTTGGATGCATGAAATTTATAGAGTGGTAATTTTATTAAATGAGAACGAAGCGAATTTCTGAAATTTTATCCAGTCATCAGTTCCAGGTTCATGTGATAACGTCCATGATGTGTTGAGAATTTTATTACGTCTTTATGTTAACGTTTTTCCACGTCTAAAAGGTGGATTCAAGAAAATATATAAATCTAAGACTGAAAAATAAATGTAAATTTAGGGCTAATATTGAATTAGATTTAAAAAAAATCATAAACATTCTGAGGAAAACATCATTTTGTGCAATGCCAAAATATAAGTATCGACATGTAGACTGTACGTTTTCATACCTATATAGGAACACATTTTCATTTATGTTATAGTTTAATAATTATAAAACAATGTTAGTACCGTTAAAACCAATATTCAAAGATCTTATTACGGTTTTAAATTTATAACCTTTTTTCGAATAAGTTTATTCAAAAGATCAATACGTTTACATGGATCGAATCTAAATTTACGGGATTTATAAACAACATAACCGTAAACATGAGGATGCGATATCCCTTTGTTATTAGTTTGCTACATGTTCGCCAAACTTCCAAACCAAATCCTTGTACCTATGGAAGAATTTAGTAATTTGTGTTAACCAAATCCTTGACTTTATAGTTTACCAGCGATATCTAGATTACGCGCATTGAAATCTATAACGTCACTACAAACATGGGCATAGCGAACGAGTTCGGATATTTAAATACCGTAAGATGGTGCCAAAGGAACATTATTGTCCAAAAAAGGAAAGTTAACAATATGGAACAAAAATTGTCCCTTTTGTTCGAATTTTTTTGTAAAGAAGTTCTTGTGTGAAACTGAAATATCTGAATCTTAGAAAGGACAGTTATTGATGTTTATGTTAGGTTTATCTAAATTAAGCTCACTTCTAGAGTAATTATCAGAAGTACATTAAGAGAATTTTTGATTATTTTACACCAAAATATCACAAAGGTGACTGTAAGTTTTGTTGAAGTTATCAATAAAATGGTATTTAGACGGATATTTATTGAGTTTGGCCATGAACTGTTTGATTTATTCCTTTAGGTATACCTAAAACCTCTCGATCAACTTTTTTCCCGAAACGTACATTGATGCTGTCAAAGAGACAGCTTTAGTCATCTCATCAAGCTTCCTGTTTGTATATCTAGTAAATTACCTTTTATTAACACTCATGTTTCAACATCCTGTCGATTTTATTTTGGAATTTCACGTGGTCATACTTTTCACAGACTGCTTATGAAGTCTTTATGCTAAATCCGTTGGAGGTGTACTTGTTGTCATTTTAGTCTGGTAAAATATGTTGCACATTTTGTCATGCCAGTACCTTTTATAGCTTACTATACGGTGTGGGTTTTGATCATTGTTGAAGGCCGTACGATGACATGTAATTGTTTTGTGCTTAAGACTTTTAAGGATGGCTATGAAATTAACAATCAAACCACATCTCCTAATTTTTATATTTATATTGAGTATACAAACATCTCCGATTTATATATTAATTTTTAAGTATAAAATCACTATATTGTATTTATTTTCTCATCACTAGTAAAATGACAGCCATTTTGATATGAAAGCAGTCTGAAATATTTTTTTTTTGGACGTATGTAATAGAATTACCTGTCGGGCCAAGGAAAATTCTGGAATTGTCTCCACCATCTTGAAACTACCATGGAAACGTAAAATCCGAGAACAAATGACAGAGGAATATAGGAAGTATACTGATTACATGATAACACGACCTTTTCAAATAATCTGACAAAAAAGAAGAAGGAAATATTTTAGTTATTGTAAAAAATTTCGGTTCCTTACATTAACATTTGATTTTTTTAACAAAATAGTGGGGCAGCACTGTATTTGTTTTTTTTTCTTATTTGAAGTTTCTTTATATTTTATATTAATAGTCGGTCATTTTTTTTAGAAATATTGAAAGGGAATAACAAAATTGTAGCAAATTCAAGGAAGAAAAAATCACTTTCGTGTGACATTTTATTTTCCAGTGTCTGTCTAGTTGCTCACGGCCATGATCTTGTCTATCCTTCGTACTGCAAAAAAATCATTTTCTTTTTTCATTTTAATCTTTCATATTCAGTCCTGTACTACAGTTGAATTTTAAGACTTTACCTGTATATTTCGCCCACCCCCTTCCAAATCCCAAAGGGTGACTGGTGAATAAATATAGTCACTTTGGTCTTCTTCCGACCAACAGTATAACCCTCGCTAAATTAGGTCGTCCGTTTAGCTGTAACAGATGTAGCCACGTCCGGTCAGAATGGGGACGTCAAATCCGATGCCTTGTATAATGAAAGTGCAACGCTCTTCGCCCGTTAAGAACACTTTTCTTTGAGGTGTCCGTAGGAGGCCTGTTGCAAGGCAAAATTTCTGTCCCCATCCAATATACCCTCATTATTCTGTAGCAGTGTAAATTTCCCCGACCTCCATACCGGACGGCCTCTATGAAAGGACCTACCTATTGCATTTGTGGTCAATTTGTTCCCGTCCTGAATTGCTTGAAATATTTGCCGCTGGACGTAAAGCAACAATCAATCATATATATTTTGCAATGTGTCAGGGTATGACAATAGCTATCTATCAGTTTTTTTATTGATTGATTGATAATTGATTGGTGTTTAACGCCACTTTCAGCACTATTGTGTTATTTCTTGGCGGTCAGTTTTTACTGTTGGAAGAAGCCGGAGTGCCCTAAGATAACCACTGGTCGTTGATAGGAAAACTGACAATTCTAGTGAATGAAAATGAAGATTATGTCGAGCGCACCTGCCATGTGCTCTATCAGTTATCGTAAATCACATAGTGTAAATAGTGGAACAGGAATTCCTTAACCTTTTGCAATAACCAAGGTCAATGACATCCATATTCTAAATGTTTCATGTTCTTCTATCTTTAGTTTTCTATTTTCGATGCACTGTGTCTCGTGAGCAATTATTTGCCACCTGTACATGGAACTTCCATTTTATGCGCAAAAGACTAGTCGAAAAATTAAGATTTATTTATGATGTAAAAATCATACTTTCTAGTCAAGGAAACGTATATTAAAAACTCTATTTTTCACTAATGTACTTGCATTAGACTTACACGGTACAAATATATTGTATTTACGTATGTTAATAGTAGATGTCAAAAAATGAAGCATATACTAGGTCAGCAAGTTTGACAAGATATTAATAAAACAGACAGTACGTTTTTTTTTGTTTACGGATATTAAATATAACTGACTTAAATATAATGCTAAAAGGATATTTTGGGTAAAATATGAATAATGCATACATATGTTTAAACATTTCATTAGTAAGCTATAAAATGGACAACGCTTGTAAACTTTAAGGGAATCGCACGAATCCCAATCTAATGTCAACATCCAATATAACATAGCTTAACCTGTAATAATGTCAGATTGACATATTGAGTTATGTGATATTAGATCTATGACTAGATTAAAAATGTTACAGTCTAGTTTTCTATGTTGACTCATGTATACTGTTGTTTGTCTTTTTTTCGTTTTTCGTTTTTTGGGATAGCATTGTCAGTTTGTTTTCAACTTATCAGTTTGAATATCCTTTTGGTATCTTTAACCTCTTTTACATGTGGGTTGAGAAATTCAAACGCCTCAAAAATCAACTAATTCATGATGGCGACGATTGAAGTTGTGAAGTGACAAGTTCAGTCGTTTACTCATAATATTCATAACCTTGTATTTTTTTTTTTTTTTTATTTTAAACAGTATCCTATTGAGTGAAATCACCATAACGAGACCAACATCTATAGCATATCGTATCAGCTGAAATACGCAGAAGTCATAGACTTGACGCAACGGTATGTTGCTTTTCAAGAGTGTTAACTTGCCAATGACGACTTTCAAATTCGTGCTTTTTTTTCTGTGTCACAATGCTTATGATGTTAAGTCACAGTAAGAACCGATTGTTCAATGACGTAAAGAACATAACGAATGAGGTTTTTTTATGAATAAATCATTCATAAATGAACAACTCGAGATTAGTTTATAATATCGTTTGTAATTAATCTTAGTTTTTACTTTTACATCTACATCAAGTGTAAGAAAAGAATCTGAATATGAAGCATTTTTTGTCCCCCATTAACACGACCCCTTAAAATGTTGACGTCACAGAAGGAAATGGTTCACGCCATACCGAAAAAGTTTTATGTTTGAAAATCTCGGGTCAGTCTAGAAGAGTACCAAATAGCGATAACGTGTACAGACTCAACATAGACGACCGAAGATCAGGCTTGAAATTAAAAAAAAACACACACAGACAACCCCTATAGAGTTTCTAAAAATAACGCAAGGTGCAAAAAGATATAGTGAGGTAATGTGTATACTCAAACTTTATCTGTTATCTGGATCAATTTATATGGGAAAAAACATCAATCAAGCTCAACGTTAAAAGCATAAAACAAAAAATACCGTACTTCAAGAAGCTTTTATGTCTATGGAGTTATCGTTCTCGAAAGACAAGTGTATATCAAGTATTGATAGACTATGTAAACCTATATCATAAAATGCAAATATATATTTTGTAAATAAAATTTCAATACAAGTTTTTTGTTTAACCAGGAATTGATCTCACTGTTCAGGCATCAATTAGGGATGCAACTTGATATAGAATTTATGAATTTTTGAACTAATATATAAAAAACAAAATAAACATCAGAAAAGGTTTTATACGAGTCTTTTCTGATGTTTATTTTGTTTTTTATGTTGTTGGATTGTTTCAATCCTGTTTACTGCTCGGCGCAAACGTGACTTCAATGCTTGGTGGCTATGTTGATTGCATGTTCCCGTTGAACTAAAGAATACCGCAGTTACAGTTAATATAAATAAAAAGATGTGGTATGAGTGCTAATGAGACAACTCTCCATCCAAGTCACAATGTATAAAAAGTTAACAATTATAGGTCAAAATACGGCCTTCAACATGGAGCCTTGCCTCACACCGAACAGCAAGCTATAAAGGACCCCAAAATGACTAGTGTAAAATAATTCAAACTTCAAAACCAACGGTCTAAACTATATAAAAAACGAGAAACGAAAAACACCTATGAACCACACCAACAAACAACAATCACTGAACAACAGGCTCCTGACTTAGGACATGTGCATACAAATGCAGCGGGTTTAAACGTTTTAACAGGGGCCAACCTTCACCATAACCTGAGACAGTAGAGTAACGTTACAACATAAACAGACACACTATAAAATATCAACTGAAATGGCTTAACTCAATCAAAAAGACATTTAAACAAAAACAAGTAAACATACACTGGACGAATAAGTTTGATCTATGACACAATATAAATACAATATTAAAACATAGACGTTACAGGTAGTAATAAAAAAAGATGTAAGAAGAGTGTTAATAAGACAACTCTTACCAGGAACAAAATGACGTTAAATAAAACAACGTACACATGTAAATTTAAATATAATAATTTTGTTGTTATTAGTACAGAGGTAAACATTTTTTTACAAAATTAATGAATTTGTTGTTCAGAGTACGAGTACATAGTCTACATATATTGACTTACATTTGAAAATTGACTACATGGTCGTTTTTTAAAAGAACTTAACTTCAGTTCAGAAGAGATGATTTCAATTTCTCATTGTGAACTGTCAGTTTCTATACAGCCAACATCACAGAAACACCTAAATATGGAGTATATATTTCCCAGTTGATACGATATTCTAGACCAAACTTTTAAGGGAATGGTGTTTACAAGGAAGCTATTGAACCAAATGGCAAAGTTAAAGATTAAATATTGAATTTTGTTACAAACTACCGAAATAAAATGAAACTTTAAAAAATCTTACAGCCAAAAGGTACATAATTATGTTATCGTCATTCTTATAATTCCCATCTAAAATCATCTTAAAATGCATTAGGTCATTAAAGTACTTACGTTCTCTGATCTTCATTTAGTACCAACCGATATATCAAAGCGATTAAGGTGTAAAGAGCGGAATATATAAGCATTTCTTTATAAAGTAACTTGTACACACTACCCCTCCATCTAGCTAACAATTTAGTAAATGTTCCAAGTCCAGTATTAGCTACTTTATATTGATATATTATTGTCATGGTAACACAATCTTGTTTAAATCCGGCTATTTCGGTAATAACGATATGATGTTGCTTGTAACTGTCCAATGTTCGTTAAACTTTCTGAAAAGTAAAATTTAATTTCAGGCTAGAATATGATAAAAGCATATTTAATAATTCCATTTATTTCGAAATATCTACTCAAAAATTCATTTCCTGCATGATTATGTCTACTCAATTATTAGAATCTTTTATCATACGAACATAAGAATTATTTGCAGCATTTTGAACTCGATTTGAATGAAAAATATCAAATATTGTGCTGGTCCCATTCTCGTCTCTTTTTTTAAAATTTAAATTATATTTATCACCATGAAAAAGTTGCATGGAATAATTCAATTGCACTGCTCAGTCAGATATTTGTTCAATCAATAAAGAAAAATGTATACTCTACCCTTTTAGTCAGGAATATGACAGTTGTTTTCCATTCGTTAGATGTGTTTGAGCTTTTGATTTTGCCATTTTATAAGGGACTTTCCGTTTTGAATTTCCCTTGGAGTTCGGTATTTTTGTTATTTTACTTTTTACCACTTTCACTATATAATTGTAACTTTTACGATGAAGATAAAATAGTCTGCTTAAAAAAGAAAGAATAAAAGAAAGACAAAAAAAAAATCTAAAAACAATTGACCGACTTCGTTTCATCAAAAGGTAGAAAAAGGGTAGAGAAGATACAAGGAGTTCTGAAAAATCGTAAGTATAACCGTAAACGACCGAGGTCATGAATACTCGAAGGTAAAAATTATAGCAGGTCTTAACTCCAACACTTAAACCGCTGGACTCAAATAAGAATGCAATCTTGCCTTTTTTTTCATAATTAAAACATCATTTTATAGAAAGATTTTATCTCAATTCTTAAGTAGATGCCACATACTAGTATATGACATATCAGCAATTACTACATGTATACTTGCGTAAACTTAAAGTTGGTACATGTATATGGGTCAGTGTATTAACATGTGAATGTAGTATTACGTTTCATAACTATGCAGCAATTCAATTCAACAAAATAATTGCACAAAACTAAAAATGCTTAGAATTTTAATACGACTTTTAAAACTATCATTTAAAACACTTACCTGTAAAATTTCCCTTTGATAGATCTAGTAATAACAACAGGTTGACAAATGTAGCTGTTAAAATATTAACTATGACGCTAGTTGATTTGTCATTTGACAGGAAAAGATTGTAAAACACGTCCTTTACCTGTCCTACGTCTTTCAGCTAGAGGACCTCAGTTTTAAAAAATCAACACATAAGAAAAAAAGACAATTTTATAAAAAAATGAATTCAAAACTTATTTACGTTTTTGTTTGATTTAATTTAAAAGAAGACGTCCCAGAGAATTACCTTGTCTTACCGAACTCTCAGAGATTTTGCAATATTCCTCTTTTGGCCTAATCCGGAAATCATGTGCTCTGAAATTTTTATAATATATATAATATATGATATTATTACCATTGGTTAATGGACTGTCATTCTTAGCTGGTTTCGTCCAGTAATCAGCGTATGGTAAGTAGTATAATTCAGAGAGTACCAGTAGCTAGTGCTACAGTGACCAGAGGTAAACAACTCAGTTTATATTCTATGTATTTTTTTATAAATTTTGCATAATCTATGTTATTTACTAAAACTGAGGTTGCTTACAACTGACTCTGGTAAATTTGTCCGTAGACTGTTGTTTTTTTGTGTTTTTTTTTGGCTCTCAAACATAAATATGTTTTACTTTCCAAATCTTGTAAAAGTCGGCATACCTGATGAATGTTATCCCAGAAACACGTATATATTTCAGCGAACTTGACATTAAGGATACTTTATTAACAGGAAAGTACTTCTAATTCAAAAGCTTCTTTATCCGGGTTTTTTAAAAGAACTACTGTAACCGACTCTATGTCGGCTCAATGATCACCATCACGCATTTGTTGTTTGATACGATTTGGCTGTGTTTCAAACTCACCAGATACATGTTTTCGCGGTCTTAATCCTTAAGACAACATGCTTGTCGTCTGCAAATTTACCGATTGTTTTCTTATTCCCTATTGTACCTACATCAACTGTCAAGATGAAGAACAGGAATAAAAGCCCTGTTCATTGATAATTTTCTATGTTTTCTATGTATTGTGTGCGATTTTGTCCCATGTACATTTACTCCATATCCTTTAATTTTCTATTGACTATATGGAAAGGAAATGTCAACTTGAATGTTCATTGTGTGTTAATTTACGTCTTTTGATTGAGTTAAGCCTTCCAATTGATATTTTATAGTGTGTTTTTCTATGTTGTGATGTTATACTATTGTTTCAGAAAAGGGAGAAGGTTTGGTACCATTAAAACGTTTAATTCCGCTGCAAATGTTTGCACCTGTCCTAAGTCAGGAATCTGATTACAGTAGTTGTCGTCTGTTTATGTAGTTCATACGTGTTTCTCGTTTCTCGTTTTTATATAGATTAGACCGTTGGTTTTTCCGTTTGAATGGTTTTACACTAGTAATTTTTTGGGGCCCTTTATAGCTTGCTGTTCGGTGTGAGCCAATGCTCCGTGTTGAAGGCCGTACCTTGACCTAAAATGGTTTACTTTTATAAATTGTGACTTGGATGGAGAGTTGTCTCATTGGCACTCATACCACATCTTCCTATATCTATTGAAACCAAGTACTTATTTTCATTTACGACTAAAATGCAGCAAATGTAGCAGCATCAGCAGCGTAGTAGTAGTATTAGTAAGAAAAGTAAGGTCGAGGTAGTTATTCAATTGTGTCAGCTATACCATACATATACTTGTCCAATGTCAGAGCAAATTGGATCTTAGTACATGTATGTTCCAGTGAATGCTCATTGTACAAAACTGAATGGTTACTGCAGCTTAAAGACGTCTTTGTAACAAACTTGTATTGTTTGAGTTGTTTCTTAAATCTAACTTGCATCTTTTTTTGTTACTGTATACTGTATACATGTCTTTATATACCTATATGGAGTTATTTTCTTTCAGATCGATAGGTCATTCTTTCGAAGAATCAACCCGGACGATACCAAGTTTCAATGAAATATGCTTCAAGGCGTAAAATAATGACCTGTGTGAGGTCATTAGTTTCGCTAATCAAAATGCAAATATAATTTACTGAAACATTTAATTTGTTTGATAGTTATCGTGTGTTGTTGCCAATTTGGGGTTTACTTTTTGATATTCCATCTTTGATAAGTTTAAGGCAGAAACAGTCCTTTCCTTCGTTTATTAGACTGAAATACCAAAATTCGTCGTTGACGCACATTTCAACTTTCGAAACAAATAATGTGAAGTTTTGTACATTTTATCGCTACAATAAAGGGACATTATGTGAGATGAATCTGATAATGTAAAACACGTTTAAAAGAAGCCAGGCTTAACACATTCGTGTGTAGGATTTTGAGAACCTAATTGATTCAAACTGTATTGGAAATCATACTTTGTCCTATAAATGTATAGATATTCGTTTTTCGTGTTGCATGTACATGTATCACTATTTCGTGCTCTGTTCGTGCCATTTCTTAATTTTTTACATCTATATACATGTATACCTTTTACTCTATCAAATGATCAAATGGCCATATATTCTTAGTTTCTATAGAATAACAGCCACGTACTCTATAATGGGGTGGGGGAGTATAAATCTAATCCTGATTCTTGGTTTAAAAAAATTGTATTGCCATTAAAAAGAAAATTATTCTGAATAGTTCAATTTGTTAAAGATTTTTGAAAAATTAATCTGCTTTTCCGCGATAAAAATGTCATGAAAAAAACATAGCATCCCCCTCTCATTAACTAAGTTGATTCAATAAATTACTTACAAAGGGACTTGCATTTTTCACCGTTATAGGGCGGTAACAATTCATTTGTGTCTTGTTTAATGCAGTTACAGTAATATTTCATTGTGCCTGGATAATGGTAACAAAAAAATACACTCGGGATATTTGTTTTGTCTCGAACAATAGTTTCCACGAATCGTATTACCAATTATGTTCAATCCATGATGCACAAGCGGAAATCTTTTTCTTTTTTTTTTCTTTGATAAGGCCAAGAAATGATATCACATCAATTACATTTATGAGAGCAGTTAGCCAGCTTTGCACTGACGGAAATCTAGTATTTAACCCTTAATCTGTAAACATTTTTAAATTGTCAATGCACGATATGGTATCCTGAAAATTCGTGCAAATGTATAGGTCGTCCAGTTTGATAACTGTAATGCAAGTGTCAATTAGAAGAGAACAGATGACTCAAAATAGAGTAAACAATTTCAGTATTAACAACGCCAAAAAAATAGAAAGAATGTTTTTTATTCGGAAAGGAGTTTATGCTGAATCTGAAATGCAATGAAAAATATCTTTCTGAAAGTATTTTTTTCCTGTAGAGTTGATTTTTTAAAATACAAATTGATCGATGTTTCATTGCTTAAAGTCTAATGGAAAATCTGCATGCACACTTAACACAAAGGGTTGACTAGGGTATGGGAAAACCGATTGCGATTGTTAGGTTGTGTTGGATGTATAAATACGTAGCCAAGTGGGACGTTAAATCGGCGATGCCCTCTGTTGGGGAATGCCACGCTATCTGTATGTTGACGTTTAAGAATCCTTGAAAAACTCTCTTAAGGGCGCGTCGGTGGCCTGTCACAAGGAAAAGCTTCAGTCCATTTCCTACATACCCTCATTTTCATGTGGCAGTCCAAACTTCCCGTCTTTCGTCCCGGTGAGCCGGACTTACAGAACCTACCTTGTATTAATTGTTGATTGTTACATATTTGCCACTGGACGTTAAACAAGCAACCAATCAATTATGCACACTAAGGACGATTAAAAAAAATATATATATGAAAATTGGATGCACGAAGCGATTAATAGAATTGAAAGATTCTATTTTTGGCCTGATTTGTTTTTGCTTAACGGTCTGCATGTTCATACTACTTTTTATTTTTGTTTCAAATTTTATGTGTATCTTGTAAA